AACGTGGACGGGTTCGCGAGGTACCACCGCTATTATCACCGATGACCCAACAGCCATCGCTCATCGATTATTTTGGTCGTTCATTACGAAAATGCGTTCAATAACATACGATTTAATAATAATCGAACGCCTTTACGGACATAGTGTCACGGGGCGACGACCGAATCACGTATATTCTTTCGTCGCGAAGTAGCAAAAGTGTGTCAGTTTCAAGATGCGATATTTCGATTTGTAAATTAAATGAAAATATGACGAGAAAAATCACGGACATGAGAGTATTACATTCTTGTCTCTCTTAATTTAGTTTATTTAATACTTATTGCTGTAATTTTCTGTAAAAATATTCTAATTGAGTTAAGTAATTTTGGTAATATTTTTTTATATTTATTTTCCTGATATTTATATTTTTTTTATTATCTTTAATACTATTATATTTTTAATCATGGCTTAAAATAAATTAAATGAATAAAAATGCTAATGTCTCACTTTTTCAATCTAATTTAATAAAAAAATAAAGTTGAAAATTTAATTTTTCTTATATCAAATATATAAATATAAGTAATTCTTGGATATTAATTACTTGAGACATATCAACCCGATAACAATAAGATTAAAAAAATTTTAATTGAAATACTTTGCAAGATAAAAAATAAATCAAAATTATAAAATAAATCATAATTTCAAATAACTAACTGATTTTTTAAACATTTATAATTAAGTAATTTTTATATAATTAAATAAATATAATTAAGTAATTTCTTTTTCAATTTCTTAAAACATTTTAACTTTTTAATTTCAACTTTTTTTGAAAATATATATTTTTTTAATTAAAATTTTTTTCTTTTCAAAATAAATTTTTTCAATCATTTAGGTTTATTATATTTGCTAAGCCAATGAATCTACGTTTATTTGAGGAGCGTGTTGTTAATCGCGTATTTTGATCATATGTCCTAATCGCATACTCTAATCCCATGCCCTAATCGCGTGCTCTAATTGAATGTGTCAGCGTTTCTGATTACGAGATATATTGCACGTAAAAAAATATAAAATATTCAAAATGTTATCGTAATATATATACTCGTAACGATATCTTATGTATCTTGCTATGCTTTTGGCTAGTATTAGCCACCTATTTTGCGCCTAGCCTATATCTATTCTTTCCAGTTGAACCTATGTTACTTGTTGGCTCGGTCCCTAACTAGAAACGATGTTGATGATCGCGATTTTACGGTTATCTATTAGACGTTTATTTGAATATAATTTTATTTAGCTGAGATAAAACCAAGTTATTAATTAAAATTAATTGAATAAAATACTTTTACTATATAATTTATAATAAAATAAAATTAATTCAACATTTATATTATTTATTATCATATTACAGATGATGCAATTGTTTAATTTTATGTAATTTGGTTTTATATCAGTAAAACAAAGTTAAAAACAATCAAATCTACAATCAAATTTTGTAATATAGATAAATTATAAAAAATTAGCATAAGATCGACGCGTATTTTAATAATAAATCATCATATAAAAGATTAAACTATTAACATTTTCTAAATTAAATAATCATTTCGATAAATTGAATAAAAATCTATAAATTGAAAAAAATGTTTTCTACGATTTTCCTTCTTTAATTTGTACTTTAAAATATTTCTTATGATATTTCCTTTTCTAACTTGTGATATTTCCTTTTCTACTTTAATTTACTTTTGCAATCGATGCACTGTATATAAAGGATTTGTTAAAAGTTATTTAACTTAATCTGTTTTAATTTATCCATTTTATCTACAATCTAAATCTTTATCTACAATATAAATCCATTGTCTTAAAATTAATTATATTTTTTCATCTATCACTGATACGTAACAAAATGATGTTATTGATTTTGAAGCTGTTATTTGTAACACATATAAATGTAAAATCCAAATTATAACAGCGCTCAAAATATAATTAATATTTCGAAAAATTATTATTATACATGCCGAATTTCACCGATGCGTAAAATGATAAGCAAATATATAAATACGGAATAATTTTATTGTATTTATTAAATTCTAAAAAAACTTCTTTAAACAGAAACTTGTAGAAGATTATATAAAATTTTTTTCTCTGTGAATCTTTCCCTGTTATAACAATGTCATGTATAATAATTAATATACAAATAATAATATTCACCTTAGGGTTGTTCCGGTGTAGGTATCTCAGACTTTCTCCTCCTCTCAGGTTGTCAGGATCATCAGGATCTGTTGGCTCACATGCGCGACACTTAAAACGGCACTCCCGCACTTATACGCACGATACTTTGAACGGTACTCCCGAATTTCATCATAATCAAAAATCCCGTTCCACGTAAGAATACTTCATGTCAATAAATCGGAAATTTAACGATGATTTCAAATTAAGGCGAAATCGATTGTCGCGAATGGGATTCATTTCCGAACTCTTATCCGAATTCTTATCCGCGTATATTCGCGTTTCAGGATAATTCGAATTCGATTAGGCGATTTCAGATAAGACATTAGATTTTAGATGAAACGATTAATTAGTTCAACGATTGAGAAACATTTTGCACGGTACTTCCGACCGCGGAATGAATACGCACTTGCTGTATTTTACAAGAAAGCAATAGAAAAAATATCGATATATACATTATATATAGAAAAATATTAGAAAAATTTTAAAAATTGGATAAAATATATTTGATTCTAAGCATTAGAGAAATAATTGTTATCTGTAAAAATCGATAATTCAAGGATCGTAACAAAATTTATCATTTTTATTCCTGTCGCTTCGATTCTTTCTTGCAATACTGAATTATCGCGCTTTGATAAAGATTATTGTCACAATATAGTTTTAATACGGCTTATCAAAAGTTCAATAATCGTTAATTATAATAATCACGGCGAATTGTGATTTAATATTAGTCGCGATCGCATTTGGAAAAAGAATTCGATAATATATGGAGCGTTTTGCAACACTACTTTACTCCTCGTGTGTCGCTGTACGAATGATAATAAGGCCACGACATAAACGATAGCGCGTTACTACGTTTACGGCCGCCAAGGTCGGTCATTGTGTTATTATCTATATCGAGTTATTTTACGTACTTATATCGAGTTATTTTACTTTAACGTATACGTACATGGAATATATAAAGTGTAGAGAAATATTTTAAATTATAAATTAATTATTTATATTAAATGATTAATGTATCGCAAAACCATTATGCTAATAACTCAATCTTACTCAAACTGATCCAATTGTTTTATTGAGTGTTCTCAATCTGAATTACATTTAGATCGTTGAAATGTCGAACAAAGTATGTAAAATAATTTGACAACTATAATTGACAATAATACGATATAATATAATACGACAATATAATACGACAATAATACAATATAATAGGCAATAATACGATGACCGTTTTTGGCGGCTGTACGATAAAATATTGAATAAAATATTGATTCTAACAGTACAGATAGAAAAATGATTATTGTTTGCAAGAATCGTAATAAAATGATAATTTATAATTTTGATTTCTATTATGTATTTCGATAGTTAAAATAAATAAATTATTCGAAAACGTGCTTCAAGATCTGTCATCGGGATATATGTAGTTACATATTATTTATGAAAGTTAATTATTCATTAATTCAATTAATAATAATATCAAATTATTTCTCGATACATCGCGATCGAATTTAGAAGAAGAATTTGAACGAAGCAATCACTACTCGCACCACTACCTTTCTGCTTGAGTGTCGCCGCATGAATGATAACAAGGTCGAATCATGTCAAATTATCAAACATCAGAGTCTCATATACTACAAAAACCGATGACAAATTAATGATAACAGTATTCAGTGTGTCAAACGTTTATATACACATATATGTATATGTATATATTCTCTTATAATTTATTTTTTATTTTTATTTCTTTTAATATAAATTTCATAATTTGTAAAAATAATATAAATATATAGATATATTAAAAAGATAAAAAGATATATTTAAAAACATAATATTTTTAAAATATATAAAATATCATATAAAACTTCTGTATATAAAATATTTTTTCGTATATTGTATGATTTTGATGAAATATTCGATCGAAATTAAATATATCGAATTAACTAGTAAGATATGTTTCAACCTATAAACTTATGAAAAAAACAATATATCTCTTAATGAAAAATACATATATCTCTTATTTTTAACTATTCTATAACATATCAAAATTCTATAACACTACAAAACTCATTTAAATATCCAAAATCGATAAGAATTTCGACTCTTTCTTTATAAATAATACACAATATTCAATCAATGCATCGATTGATACATAAATATGTAAATTATATTTATCACTTATATTTTCCTAGATTAAATTAATAAATTTTTATTCTATTTATATTCTATGAATGTTTGTATTCTATAAATAAACATCCATACAAATAATCGAATCGCCTCCAATATGCGATCGAGCAGCAAATATAATTGCTGCTTTTAAATTAATTATAATTAATAAAATAGATGTATTGTAGATGTATATTTATTAATTCCTGATAAATTATAATTGCTTTCGTTGCCGAATTGCACCTTACATGTTAAGTCTAGCTTAAAACTAAATTTGTACTACTTACCATTAATTAATTTATTTTTAATTTTACGTCTATAGAGTTTATTTATCTGTTACCAAAGTGTGCAAAATTTTGCTTTATTTCTGCCGCCAATTTGACATCAAATTATGTTAGGAAATTCTGCTGGCTGATTACAAGTCTGTGAATATAATTGATGCCAAATTGCTTGTAACTTTTAAATAAATCTGTTGCCAATCTGCTGATATATTAAGCGCATTTTGTATATTGGGATATGATATGCATTATAAGTATATAATTTAATATGTAATTAACATATAATTATAATAAATCTAAAATTATAATAAATGCATATATATTTGATATGAATAGAATATATAATTTTATTAATAAACGTATTTGTGTGTAAGAAATACACAGTATGAATATTGTGAATAAGATTAAACATTTAACGCAAAAGTAACATTGGATAATCGTTTGAAATACATTGTGCACTTTTATCTTCTATTTCGAGTTAAGAATTAATTGAATAATGTTTTAATTTTTGGAGGGAATGGACCATCTCCAATAGGCCTATTATCATTCCAAATTTGACCAGGAATACATTTAGCCAAATATCTCATGCATACTAAATCACGACAGCATTGTTCGGTAAGTAGGCACTATAATTATAACAATTTATTATATAACAAAAGTTCATTATATGAAAAAGGAATTGTATAAAAATGCATATTGACTATGATATTATAATTATAAATGGATAATGATTTTTAAAAATGTGTGTATATGTATATGTTTAATGTAGTACAATTTTTATATATAAAAAATTAAGCGTTAATACAATTGCTTTTAATTATACTTACTTTTCCAAGCCAAGGTATACATATAGGCTCAGGATTCGTAGTTGTAGAAGTAACTACAACGTTGATAGAAGTCATAGCGATTAAAGCAAATACCAGGCACTTGTTCATTTTAATATAAAAATAAACTGTAACATTAAAAAGTAAAATAATAATACTAAATATATCAGATTAATAATAATAAAAATGTAAAGTAATTAACAATATAATTAAAAGAAGAACGTGCAATAAGTTTTACTAGATTTAGAACTAATGTTAGATAATATAATACATGTAAGTATAAAAGATACGTCTGCGTTTGGTTCGTATTGAAGAAATATATTTAACTATAATTTTCTAAGGTACTCTCGTAAATTTATAAGACAATCACAATAATCTTATCTGAGGAATTTAAACCGAGGATTGATAAAGTATTCTATTTAAAGATTTATTTTAGTTTACATCTCTGATTTCTCTCTATTTGCTTATACAAGATGTTTCAAAATTAAACAATTAAATTTTTGTCAGTATGTTCTATAGATAGAAACAAGAAAGAAATGCGATATATAAACATTACTCCGAAACTTTATTATTAAAAATTAAAAAGATATAATAAGAATATTAGAAAAGATATAGAAATTATCTAATATTCTAACTGCATTTTATATTCAAAAGCAAAAATAGTATCATATGAAAATTAATTTGTTGCAAGGAAAATTAAACAAATTTTTATTTTTTAAATATAATAATGCTTAATATAACAGTTGTTTCTTGTTTCTAGGGAAGAACATAATATAGCAAAGTTTAGAATTTTCTCAACTTTGGAATATCTTATATATGTATATACATTTAATATCAGTTATATCTCGAAAATTATGTGTGTCTGTTTGTATGTGTAAATCTGTGATATGATTAATATTATCTGATTAATATTTTCTGCGCAATATTTTAAAAGTATAAAATAAAAAAAGAAATATCGAATTAAGAATTAATAATAATATCAAAATTATATTTATAAAAGTAAAAGAAAGAAGAGCACACATAAAAAAAGAAAAAATAAAACCTAGATAAGTAAAATTTACAAAAAAATATGATATAGTATAAAGGTTTTATATAAATTAAATAAAAAAATATAAATTAGAACTTTAAAAGAGAATAAAAGAGAGAGAAGGAAAGAGGAAGAAGAGAAGAAGAGTGGGAAAGTTGAGAAATGCTTTTATTTCTAGTTGCCAGGTATTGATAATAAAGAAGAGTATTTTGTACCTGTGAACACAACAAATCAAAATTCTAAATACTTTATTAATCCGCAAGATTTTATTCCACTGAAAACGGAGACAGAGAATAAAGTTTTACAAATCTTTGGAATTCGGTATCGAACCTCAATCGTGTATAAATTACCTGTAAAAAATGTATTAAACAGAATGAGATATGTAGTAACTTTTTTTTCTTTAGATACGTATATATCAGATGATTTTATAATATTATAATCATTTCTACAATGATTTAAAAATGGTGTTAATCACGATCTTCCAAATTACACTCTCGCTATAAAACGAATAAAAAGGATATCTCAAATAGTAATAATGCTGTTCACATATTTACTACATAACTGACAGTTTCTATGTACAATTCAAGAAAATGTGAAAAATGTATAATACGCATAGGATATTTAGCAGGCATCCAAATGCACTTTTATATGCAAATACAGCTGTAGTAAATACAATAAAATTTGCAATTTTTTTATATTCGTAATTATAATAGGAACTATGTTTAAAGAAACTATGAAATTTTAAATACGAAATACGTTTATTAATAAAATTATGAAAATGCGCGTTTTTTTTGTAATAAAATCGACTTTTTTTTTAGTTTAAATAGCTTACTATCACTGAAGCATGTAATTAACTTCTCATTGCGACTTATCGACTTCCATTGTAAATTACGGTCGGCACAGTGTATCGTGATCGAACGACATATATATTTATAAATATATTATAACAGAACATTATACAAAACAACAAGCGTTTCGGCAGCGGCCGCTATTGACTCGATTTCTCTCTTGTAATGTATACATTGATAACAATATATATATAACACAAGTTAACGTCATTTTAAATTTAGCTAATTAACTAACGATTATCTTACATTGCCATATCGTGACCTGATTTACGAGCACGATAGTAAAAAATTGGCTAGTTTGGTAGGTAAAAAGGTACGAATATTTATTGTACATCGTTCATCGATTGACTTTCTTGTGCGTTTTCGTTTCCCACCTGCGTAGAATGAGGTAGTTCAGCTTTCGTAGCCAACTCTAACGTGTACATCCATCTAAAAATCACACAAATATTTCATGTATATATAAACTAAATTATATATAAATTAAATTATACAAATTATATTTAATTGTTACACGCACTTTTCTTTGTCCTCCTGGGAGGATGCTTGAAGATAATAATATTTTCTAGAATGATGCATCTTGAACGCTCTTATCCGATCTTTCATGTTTAAGGGATCCTCATCGGGAAGTTTTGTACCTTCGGTAACCATGAAACCTGGCATAGGCGTCGCTGTCATGGCCATGCTCTCCGATTCCGATTTGAACGAATACAAAACGAAATCGACGTGTAATGCGAACCATCGTTTTGTCCATGGTTTACTGGCCTGTGTTTTCAACAATAGGTATCCGGATAATACTGATGGCGCGCACGCTGATACCTGCAGCAAACTTGGCACCGGTCCAGACGGTGAAGATGGCGATTTAGTGAGTGGTTGAGTGAGCGCGGCATGGCATAATCTGCACACTCTCATATTCTTATTGTCTTCAAATAATAATTTCTGATTTGAGCATTTACTACAAACCACCTGAAAAAAAATAAAATTAATTAATTCACAGATCTTTAATTATTATTATAAAAATTAAATAATTTATAGTGAAAAATTAATCGTATTGTGCAATACTTACTATTCCACAAGCCCGGCAATTGTGCTTTCGCTTCATCACAGAAAAAATAACTTCGCAAACCATGCACCTAGTTACATCATCAGCTTTAACTAGAGAAGTCTTAACGTTACCAGTTTTCAGACTGGCTTTACGTCTCATAATCTCTTGCATTGTTTGAAATAATGCGTCCAACCACGCTGCTTTTTCCGCGGCGGCATGTGTATACAATTCAACGCTTTTATTTTCGTCTCTTATGTAAAAAGTATTTGCTGTTTCTAGATTATCTCCTTCAACTACTTGTAAATTTTCCACCATAAACTTGGCTCTTAGCCGGTACATAGGACCGGGTATCAGTCTTATTGAACAGAGTAATAATAAATCACTAAACTAAAAAAAGATATAAACAATTTAATAAATCAAAGAGAAAAAAAACGAGGAAGAACGACTTCATGATCAGTATATTATATGCGCATAAATTAATCTTTACCAAAAATAGATGTCTCTCCTGATGATCGCCACTACGCGCCGAAATTTTCACTATACGTCCTTCTTTTACTAGTTCGCGAGTCGCACTGACTAGATCAGTTGCATCATATATGCTTTCTTGGATTTCTAAGAGTTTCTTAAATTTATCGATTTTCTTCATTGCTTCGTTCGTATGATTCGCTGCAGTGGATACCAATTCTAGAGCTTCTAAAATTTAATATTATAATTTATTATTATTAATTAATTATTATTTTCTAATTAATATAATTATAATTCTTCTATATTTGTATAGAATATGCAATTACAAAAAACAAATTTACTCACTTTGTGTATCTTCATAATCCGGATTGTCTTCAGTGAGATTTCGTAAATAATCCTTAAGAAGCAGCTCGTATCGTGGTAACCTCTGTATCGGACTCAACATATGATGGGCTAGTGACAATTTAGCACATTCATCGAGTTTTTGAATTTCATTAATAATTGCAGCAAATTTGGGCACTTTATTTTGCAATGTGTTTATCAGATTCATGGCATAATCAAAATTCTTTACATATTCTGTATACATCTTGAGAAATGGCGCAAAATTTTTCATTATATCACCGATTTTCGGATTTGAATTCCAACATTGCATTCTCTCCTCGAGTTGTGGTAATAAAAATTCGTTGTGAAATTTATAAATGGATTTAATATTTGAAAACATGTGTTGAACAGTTTCTGGAGGGAACATTGGATGTGCTCTGTTTTCTTGATCAACTCTGAATTGAAACACTTGGTCAATTAAATGCAGAACGTTCACGTAATTTTTTTCAGTAGCCAATAACTCGTGCGCCACATGCAACGCCTTCTTCCGCTTCGAATCAGGAGAACCTTTCTTTATGAATAATTTAGGCTCAGATATCGATTCATCCGTATGGTCCGTTACTATGGTAGAGTCTGTCTCTGAAGATCTTATTTCTTCTGATTCTTCTTCACTTTCGGATTCACTTACTGCATATGTATCTAATGTATATTGATGAGATCTCCTCTCTGAAGCTACATACCTGTAAGAGAGAGATTACTCTTTTAAAAACACACGCTTTAAAATTCTCCAAATCAAAGATATATAAATTATATTGTCTCTTTTGTGTCAAAAGCTATACCCAAAACTATGCTCTCACCTGCTACTTCTATACTCTAGAACGCTATGTGACATTTTAATATAGGACGTTTCGGTTGAAGTTTCTTCATGCCTCGTGATATCGATGCATTCAGCGGGCGTGGAAGCGGACATGACGAACGGCTGAAATCGCGGAAAGCCGCCGAAACTGGCGATCCTATGGAAGGAATGTCTGACGTATTGTTGCTCCTCGACACCTGTTGCGGTCTCCGAATCTTGCGAGTTTCCATTTTCGCTGGTTGTGCTCTGTTGTTCTGACAAATGTGGCGTCTTGGAATGTTCCTCCTCCTGTTGCAGTTCCTCCTTATCCTCCGTAATATCCAGATCAGTGTAAAACGTGCTGGTGGGTGAGGTGTTTTTCAAACCAAACATTTTGAATCCTTCGATCATCCGATTACTTCCGTCTCCAGGTTCCGGAAATAGGCGTGTCATCCAGGATGAAATGTCCCTCAACTGACTTCGTTGCATTCTATAATCATCACGTTGCTAATTGTAGTCAATTATCGCATACTTTGCACGAAGGGATAATTGGAGCATAAAGAACAAGTTATGGCGAGTGCACATGGGGC